GCCAGTGAGATAATGTCCGAATTGAGTCAACATATCTTGGGACTTTTGAGGTAAATTCACGCCCGTTGGGCCTTCTTAGTTTCGGCAGTTTTCCGACATTCGGCACTAAGGCAAGCAGCTAGGAGAAATGGCTGCGTTTATAGTTCGTGGTTTCCGTCACATGGATCGTTGTGTTTTGGTCGTCTGCGGACTAAGACACCGTGAACTTCCCTCTTTTGGTCTTCTGTGTTTGTGTCAGAAGTTCAAGCGTAAGCTGCTGCATACATACCAAAGCCGCATCAGGAACAATGACAATGTGAAGACGTCATTCGAAAAAATCGGGCTGTTTTTGTATTTGTATTCGGCTACGTCGAGGCCTGCTACTGGTAAAAACAACCCAGTTATTCCTCTCGTGTGTTCTTTACGTGTGTGACAGCCTCGCTCCCTTGCGTTTGCGTGCCATTTCGGAGACGTGTGACTAAGAATTTGGAGACATCACTTCCGATCAGCTGATATGCGAGGATTCGTGTGTGTATATTTAGATATTTACGTGTGAAAACGGGCGGTCGATATTACAAACGTTATTTTACAGTACCTGCTACAGCTTCGTGGCAACAGTGCACGAATTGTTAGACAGCCTCGTTGACTATGTGAAACGAGTTCATTTGTGTAAGCGTATCCATGCTCCATGTGCATGACCACAACATTCTTGTTGACGTGTTTATAAGACCTCATCCTACGTAGGTTCTGCAGTATTTTCACCGCAGTACAAGAAAGCAAGACGTATCGATAGCATTGCAAGTATTTTTACTGCAGAGCTTTATGGTATAATGATGGCCCTTGAACATATCTTAGAGAATCATGTGATGAAAGCCATTTTGCTTGTTGACTCTCAGAGTGCCCTGCTCTCAGTTTGTTCTCTTACCGACACAAAAAAACTGGCTTACACAACAAGTGCGTGTAAAGATGCACCGTGCTCACCTACCAGGGCTCGATATTAAACTCTGCTGGGTACCGAGCCATGTAGGAATTATCGGTAACGAAGGGGCAGATAAGCTGGCCGCCTCTATCAAGGATAACATTAAATTATCTCTTAAACTTCCATATGAAAATTTAAAGCCAGCTTTAAGAAGAGCAATTAACAAGGTATGGCACTCAGAATGGGATAGGGAAATTGACAATAAACTACACGTTATCAAACCTTGTTTGGAGGTGTGGGAGAGCTCCCATCACAAGAATCGTTTCCATGAAGTTTTGATGTCCCGATTGAGGATTGGCCTCTCGCGTTTGACACATCTGCATTTGCTTTGTGGTGAAGATGCTCCACAGTGTGAGCACTGCGGCAAGGTAGTGACTGTATTACACATCTTGTGGAATTGCAGGCACCTACATGAATAGCGACGGGCATGTTTTCCAGAACTTCTTAAATATCATCTCCCGTTTCACCCTGCCTTCCTTCTTGGTGATCAACTTCTAGTCCCTTTTCGGCGTGTTTTAGAATTTCTTAAAGTAACTGTCTACATACACCGATTGTAACTTTTATTCATAAAATATATCAGTCCCATTGTTGAATCTACTTGCGGGGTCCATTTCTTTAAAAGAAGTGCGCAAGGGCCGTCGAGTGCCGCCGACCGCTTGATTTCGCATTGAGAAGCCAGCGTCCCGATCTTGCCCAGAGCTTGGCCGGTCTTGCGGACCAGGCGGGCTGCGACGACAGCGCCATCACGCTCGCGCGAACGGAGGGGGCCGGCTCTCCGAAGCTGCGGAGCTTGTCAACTGAGCTGATCTAGTAACGTTGGTCGACACAGCCGGCGCAGCTCTGATCCACAATTTCGTAGTCGAATCAAAAATATTTATTCAAGCGAATACATTAAAAGTAGCATCTATTTTTATCAACTACGTATTAATATTTTTTTCATATTTTTTACTGTTGCGTGTTGTTATCTACCTCACTGACTGTAATAGGTTATATTTTCTTATTCCATTGGCTGAATTCGGTAAGGAAAGTATCCCGTAGGCTTTGCACCAGGGATGCACTCGGAACTCTAATCAAAACATGCCTTCTCTGGGATCTCCCAGAGACTTTCCTTGCGGGTTGTTCTGGGGATCACAGCGCCAGGTATGTCCTCAGAACTTTAATCTCCTGAAAGGGAGATTGGGATGTTCTGAGGATTTGTTCAGGACTTTGTGTTCTGTCTGGGAAAGCACTCTGTAGACTGAGCCCGTATCTAACAACGGCAAACAGAGCAACTGCACGTAGCCATCCTGTGCGACATCAACTCTGAGAATCGCATTGCAGCTAAGTAAATTAAACTATGCGCTTCTGCTCTGTAGAAAATAGACTGTTGTGCAGCTGAAATTTTAGCAATGTTTATTTTTACCCTCGCTTTTCAGAAAGTATGGTGTAAAACTTCCATCATTTATCATAGACAGGCAACACTGAAAAGTGGATAAGCGGAACTCGGCTACTACTCTATTGAACACAATCGCTTTTATATACCCTTACGCCCTTTTTACTACACTCTAAACTTGGTCCCTCTTAATAAGAGGGATTTAAAAAAAAAAAGCCCCATAAAGGTAGGAGGGACTGCAACTCTTAAATAAAGGGGACGCAAGCGCTGTCAAGGTCATTCTCGTTTTTCAAGAGGAACAGCCTCCCTTGAAGTGTAAGAGGGATAGCGGCCCTCTTGAAATTTGGAGGGACAAGGTCTCTCTTAGAAATGTCCCTCTATACACCAACTCAACTCTCCTACGTCACGCCGCGGTGGTGGCGCGTCGGACGCACTTCCGGTCTGGGCGGTGGGCAGAAGTCGCTGTGCGAGACATGCATTCTTGTGTTCTTTTCGCAGAAACCAGACAAAAAACCTGCGTTCTCGTCAATATGCTGCGACGGGGGCTGTGCCGAAAGAGTCTGGAAAGGTTTGAGATCAGTTTTACTGTGTTTCTGGCCGCTCCGTTCGTCCGAGTACGTGGATAGTAGCCGTGAAAAGGGTAAACCAGACGCTGTCGAACTACGATTGCTTGTGCTTGCAACACTTCGTGGTCGCCAGATGTATTTGTCTTGTTCCAACATGAACGCGAGAAAACCGCCAAGTTGTCCGGGCCCCCCCGGACAACTTGGGTTCAGTGCGTCTTCAAATTCACACGGCCGCCCGATCGTTCGAATTTTCGTCTGCTCTTTCGAACTTGTCTGCTTTTTGTCGTCTGCTCGTTCAAACAAAAGCGGCCCGTAGACCAAACTTTGACCCGGTGATTGCAATAAGAAATAATTGCAGGCCTCAAACGACTTAAGTAGGCTCGGTGTAAACAGTACATACAATATGTTGATCATTGGTACCAGTGGCCATCACCGACTTGTTACGCTTGGTTTGTTTTTGCTTCCGAATTTCAGTACCGACGTCGATCATCGCCGCTACCTTCTACACTTTTGCAGCACGAGCGACGTCGCGACCGAAAATATCTAGAAGATTCTCATCGTGGTTTTGGCGTCCATTCTGTGACGTTCACGCCAATGAATCGCCACACGTCAAATTATTTACGCAAAGTTTAGCGGTGTAACGAGCCTTGATAGTTTCGCCCAGGCGATTAAAGTGGTAAGACATTGCTATGGGGACGTAGATTCGACAATTCCAACGCGAAAAAGAGTATGCAGACTCACACAGACGCCGACAACGTGACATTCCAAAGGTTTGTGGACGCGGGGCGCCGTGCTTGTTGCCCGCACTCCATTTAGCATGCGTTCGAACTGTCGTCTGCTCTTTCAAACTTGTCTGCTTTTTGTCATCAGCGCGTTCAAACAACAGCGGCCCGTAAACCAAACGTTGACCTGGTAATTGCGATAAGAACTAAGTGCAGGCCTCAAAACACTTTTGAAGCTTGGCGGGGGTAAGTAGGCTAAGTGTAAACAGTAGATACAAGATGTTGAACATTGTTACCAGTGGCCATCACCGCTTTATAATGCCCGATTCTACTTGCGGTTTTCAGTATCGACGTCCACCATCTCAGCTAGAATCCACGCTTTCGCAGCCCGAGCGACGTCGCGACTGAAAATAGCGAGCAGAATCTCCTCGTGGGAGTCAGGCTTTAGCGCCCTATCTGCGGCGTCCACGTGAAATGAATCGCCGCAAGTCACATTATTCACGCAAAGTTTTGCCTCGTCAATTTTGCTGAAGCCGCTCAAGTAGTCAGACATTGTTAGGAGGACGTAAAATCAATTCCAACGCGAAAAGGAGCACGGGGACTCCCACCGAGGTCGAAAAGAACGCAATGCAATGGTTTGTTTATGGGCGACGGAGGGCTTCTTGCCCACCGTCCACCGCGCATGCGCGGCGCCGGTGGCGTCCGCTAGGGACGCTCCGGTTTGTTTGTAAACATGAGTTGGTGTATATTTCGTTTCTCATTTTAAGAGAGCCTTGTTCTTCAGATATCCCTCTTAAAATGCCAAGGGACTGCGCCCCGGTTAAAGAAAAATAAAAGGAGGTGCGTGGCTTTTTAATTATATTTCACACAGCAAATTACACAAGAAATTTTTAGTGGGCAATGCACAAGACTGGCGCCTGCGACGAATTAAACACAAACAGGCATTGTATTATGTTGCCACAAAAATCATTGCTTTCCCGAATTTAGATAAGAGCTTCCCCAGCCTTTCCGTCATAAATGCGACCGGGAACTTGTCTTCTTTGACGATTGCCGTTTGGACTAGTCCCAGTACCTGCCCATATGCTGCTGGATAAGAAAGCCCTCTCACGCAATAAACGCAGAGGCACATGACCAGGGCTTCTTCGAGTGTGGTGTGCTGAGACAACTGGACAGTCTGATTTCCACAAAGTATTTTTTTCTGTGCTCAAAAAAACAAAACAAAAAAACTTGGGGCCCGGAGCAACGGCGTCTGGATCCCATGTTTCCTGGAAACAAAGAAACGGATTTGGCAATAGCTATCTCTTTGAGATACCGGTTATTCTCTGAATTATAAGCGAAAAGTTTCTAAAGTGTAAGCGAAACGTTTCTAAAGTGATGCCTACCATGCAAAATTGAGGCAGCTCTTTGCCAGGCGCGCCAAGAGATTGTTGTCGATGTCAAGGAACTGTGCGCAGCTTGTGTCGTTGAACACCTTCTTGATCAAATCCACTTTGGTCGTCATATCCTTCATAGTAGACTTGAAGCGAAACTCGGCTTCTACCATGAGCTGGGGAGTTATTTCAGATTTCATATATCTCACGAATTACAAGATTACTAAAAATGCTTACTAGTTCCTCTACACACAGGTAGTTCGAGAGCATTTCCACTTGAGCAGTTGTTCTCAGTTTGACAGTCTCTGACAAGAGTACAGCTACTCGTTCAACGTTAATTGTACCCAAGTCGCCTCCCAGAGACTCCAATGTCTGAAAAAAAAAAAAAGAAAGCTTAAAACAAAAAAATTCTGACAATAAAAGCTCGGAACTTACTCGCAGCTCTGCCATTGCCTCATGAACCGTGATATGTTGCATGGTGCTTGTCACTTTCTCTTGAGATAGCGCTTTCTTAGCGCACCTGTGCCGCGTTTTTTTTTTTTTTTCTAGTCATACTGAGCCAATGTATAAAGACGGCCTAAAAAATATTTTTTTTTTATTTACTAGACAATTTTCTTGCTAAAAGGCCCACGCACGACTCTAGAAATCTACCCCTTGTCTTTTTTTCTGGTTACTGAATTCTTTACGGCTTTTAGAACCTGCTATACGTAGGTTATCTTGGCCCTCTTGAAATTTTGCCTTCGTCACTATTTTGTAAATTCTATATGAACTTGTGGTACCCCAGGCGAAAATCACTCCACTTGCAGCTGGATTATGAAACTGGAAATGAGGCAGTCCAGCTGGATTCCAGCTGGACTGCCTCATTTCCAGTTCCATAATCCAGTTGGAAGTCGACTGATTTTTGCCTGGGACGTTAAGTAAAGGAACAAGTAATTATAATAAATCATACCCACCCAGGTATTCTTTCCTCTCGACGCTTGCTGCGTTCCAGGTTTTGGTACTTCCCACAACATGTCTGGATACTTATCAACAAGAGCCCTCCCGAAGCTGCAGTACTGCCATCTCAGCACGGTAGATGACTTGTTCTTTATCATCTTCTTTTCGCTGTAACGGTAGCGCAGAAATGTATCTCTGCAACAAGTCCAGCAGGATTCCAAAGTGAGTAGGACTGACTAAGTTGGTTGACCTCAGTGACAGAAAACGGTATGCTTTTAAAGTAAAAAAACTTCTTTGACTTCGGGAGCGCATTTTTACCTTCGAATCGCAACGTCCAATGATGTCTAGCCGGGCCGTACTTTCTAATTTGTTAAACGAGGTGAACCAGCGTATGGAGCTTTGGAATAAAGGCGTCTGCTCCGTCACACTCAATAAAGAGCCTTTGATGCTCGGCTACCAAGCACTCAATGTCGGTAAAACCTTCTGCAGTTAAAGAGAGAGACAAAATCAGCCATGTAATTTGGCATAGCAGAGATAGACAAGTAACGTGACTGCTTTCGCCCGTTGGAATCAGATCCCGAAGAACCAGAGCCAAATGGAGGAGCAGAACAAGTGACGCACTTCCAGAGGTTACTACAGTGAGCTCAGAATCAAACAATCTTGGATAATCGCTCTTGCTCACTGCTTTGTGAAAAGCAAAACTGGACAACGCGTTCTTTGAGATGCTTTCGAGAAAACCACCAAAAAGAGACTGATTTCTTTCGAACCATACCCTTCTAACACGATATAATGTTGGATCATAAAGCAGATTGCATGTTAAAGAAAAGTATTTAAGTTTAGACATCACTGATCTGCCGTTAATTCCGGACAACTTAGACAAAGAACTGCGGTCTGCCGGGGTTTCAGTTTTCTCCAGGTTGAGTACTTCGGCGTTAATCTGTTTGTCAGAGCGAAGTGAACATTCTCCATGATAGAAAAACATCGAAAAGTCAGAAGTTGGCAGCTTGCAGCTGCGGCAACCGAACTGAACGTTCAGAATGAAAGATTCCTTGAACCCAGCAATATTATTGCATGGTGTGTCCCATTAGGCGTATCGAATCTGATGCCAGGACCGGCCAAACGGTTTACAGTTCGAATAACATCAAGCAAGAGCACTCGCTTTGCTTCTGTTGTTTTGAGCCCCCTGGAGTTCCCCACAGCTAAAAGAAATATGTTTTGCAACTTGGACCTGTCGGCGGGGGTGCAAGTTTGTGAACATAATATAGTACACGCTTAGTTTACCTCTTCTACCTCGTTTCATTCCCAGCGGGCTTGGAATCTCAATGTCGTCGCAGTAAGGTACCATTGTTGAAGTGTTCTCCTCGTGTCTCCTTAAGACAGGATGAGGTTGAAACCTTGTACCATCGCAAAAGTCTCTAAACACTCCGTCTTGTCGACTTGGAATACACGGTCATTTAAAGTGGTTCACAAACTGTGGGTGCTTCATCATGTTTGTTATCAGTTCCTGCAAAGGAACCTGGTATGCTTCGGCGCCCGAGGGAAGTGTGACTTCCACTAGCGGGACATAAAGTCCCTGATTTACGAACTGCTCCTTTCGCGACTTATCAGATCTTAAGCTTGATAGGTCAACAGCAACTCCATTCGAAGTGCATAATTCTGAGACCCATGTGTGGTCCTCCGCAGCCTGAGCATGCTTGGGGCTGTTACTGTCAACGCTGGTTGGCTGAAGAGATACTCCTTGATCATGAGTAAAGCGAACGTTACAGTCTCTAAAATGATCCTTGTAACGGCTAATGCGACGGGACTTAGACTGGCACACTGTGCACACAATATCTGCATTCGTGTGAAGCTGCTTAAAATGCGCATCAAAACGAACAAAAAATCGTGGTTGAAAAGCGCAAGGTTGCAGCGATGAATTACGTCAGGCTGGCTTGACGTCGATGGAGTAGCATCGTCCGACGCAAGGGAGGCCTGGGGTCTCGCAACTTGTAACATTCGCATTTTGAGCGATGTTGACGATTGTAAAGTAAATATCCCCATGTTAAAAGGCCGAACTTTTTTTATATAAGATAAGGTTATGTGCCTCACTGTCTTCATCACAGTAGTACATTTTTCAGTGATTTTGCAGTTATTTTCTATTATTCTTCAAATTTACAACGAAAAATTAAACAATATAATAGATACTTGGTGTTATATGTACAACGTATCTACATGTCACTTGAATACACTTGGTGAGTGTTTAATTCTTTTAGTTTAAAATAAAACGCGAGGCCGCCAGTTGTGCGTAAATAGTATTACCTCAACGTTCCGAGTCCTCAACGGAGTCATCTTTCTCGTGTGTGACTTCTTCGCGCGCTGGATGATCAACCATCATAAGATCAGTCAAATCTTTTGAAAAAAATAAACAAGGTAAAAAAAAAAAAAACGTTAACCTACCTATTAGTACGGAACTTAACTAAGGCGACACTAGTTTATTGACCGACCGGTCTTTCAGACAAACTATACTCGGTGCCAATACTACAGAATATTTTAAAATTTGTTGGCCGAAACGCTTTTGAACCGTGTTTGAAACTTTTCCTCAATGCACCAATCTAATGTCTACAAACCCACAGTCCAGCATGCACAAATTCGCGGCTTTGAATTTGAACATGGAGAATGCCAGAGGCTCTTTTATTTTATTTTTTTTATTTTTTTTTGTTAATGGTTTAGATACTTTGTTAGAGAACAGCAACATAAAATTTCACATGGAAGCACTGAGCGGAACTTACCTCTTTCATTGTGTGAAATTGGAGGATGCCCACAGTAAGCACACCATACGGGGTGCTGACTCCTACTGGTTCCTTCTCTCAAAAATTTCATACAGGAACAGTCGTGGCAAGCGCCACGACATATTTCCCGGATATCCAAGTTGGACGACATGAGTTCATCGACATGTGCACGTAGCTAATATTTGCAATAACATGCCAAAAAAAAACAAAAGAAACAGACCCGAACACGCTTACAAACAGCCAGGAGCGATCCGCTCTGGAAAAACGAAAAACTTGCGGCATCCAAAGAGCAAAGATCGCGGTTTTTCAAACTACCAAAAGCACTTGAGAGCCGGTAGTTATGACGAGAGGCGCGCCCATTAAGAAAAACAAAAAGATTTAACGACGTTCAAACCCCAAAGAGCGTGAGGCTTCCGAACATACCGAAAGCACGCGGGAGCCGTTGGTTACGACGGGAGGCGCGCCAAAGAACGGACACAAAGCGAAGAGCGGAAGCAAAGAATTTCCGTCGTTGCATCTCATTCCCATTGAACTACGCAACAGCTGAAAAATGAACAAAGCTCGCGGCTCTCGTCACGGAAGTGAATAAAGCTGTACATGGAGGCCTAAACATAAAATTTTGTTGGGTGCCCAGTCATATGGGAATAAAATGTAACGAGGAAGCAGACAGACTCGTTACATCATCAGGTAATCTTCCCCTGTCTCACGCCTGTTTGCCACACCAAGACATTAAACCCCTAATAAAGTCATCCCTTGTTAGTTTATGGCAGTCTGAATGGAACATGGAGTGCAACAATAAACTTCATATTACAAAGCCGGTTCTTGGGCTCTGGGAGAGCTCCTCTCACAGCAACCGATTCCATGAAGTATTGTTGTGTCGACTTCGAATCGGTCATTCTTACATATCGCATAAATATCTTCTTAGTGGGGTGGACCCACCGGGGTGTGAACATTGTGGGGATGCACTTACAATCATGCATATCTTGTGGCTCTGTCCAGCTTTGGACAATGAACGTCATACTCACTTTCCTAAATTGTTCCATTTCCAAATCCCATTCCATCTTGCTCTTTTACTGGGAGAATATCCCCTCATTCCATTTGACCCTGTGTTGACTTTTATTACTAACGCAGGTTTTATTAATCAGATCTAGTTCTGCATAGCTAATATTATTTTGTAGCACAATAACAACAACAGCTTGTTTTCTTTTAATTTTGTTTGGCGCAGTATGGCCTCCGTAGCTGTTGCGCCATAAAACTCCCAAACAACAACAACATCGTCACGGAAGTGCAGATAATTGAACAACTCACCTACGATTCGGTAATCCGTTTTAGTATCAGCAGGAGCCAAGACAAACAGCAATGGCATCTCAGTTCCACCAAAACAAACAACGAGTCAGTGACTCCCTGGAGTAAACTTCTTGGCGAAAACCAGGAAACCGAGGTACCCCTTTCTTGCTCCGAGAACTTTTGTGCGAGATGGGTAATTGGGACTTTTTTGCAGTGCACCGATTCTCGCGTACTCGACACCGGACACCGGGCCAGTTCAAGGTCGCTCCCTTCAACTCCTCGGGAAAAAAAAAAAAAAAAAAGGATCATGGTGACGTTGCTCAACGTTTAAGAAGGATGGTTGCCCTTTTTCGTCTGTGTTTATTCAACCTAATGATGTCTCTCTTAACTCCGCTATTGTCCCCCTAAGAAACCCCACCTTTTTTAAAATGCCCTCTTAAAAAATAAGGTCCCTTTTATATCGCCCATTTCCCTCATAAAATAAGA